ATTAGTATGGGTTTGCTAATTAATACTGGAAAGTCAAACTGCCTTTGTCTTGTCAACTGCAATTAGCTGGAGCTATTTAAATTTCTCTCTCTTTTTTTCCAGTAGTAAACTGACTTTAGCAGACAAGTAATTGAATCATGTGCTGAAACACACAGTGTCAGTTCGGTGGCTTTATTACCCTTCGATACAGTGGTTTCGGATGCTACAAGTGCAATGACATTTGGTAAAAATGCCACCTGGGATCCCCTTTTTCACCTGGCACCAACAAGTCACCCATTCAGTATTCCACATTAGCATATGGGTGTACCGTAGACCTACAGGCTTTAAATAGAAGCATCAACAGCTCATTCACTGAGCATTTCTAAAAGTGAGACAGCAAAGGCTACGATGTTCTGTATGATAATCAGAGCAATCAACTTGTAGCCTTTAACAGCAATTAAGAAGTCAACTCCCATTAATTGGGCAATACAAGTTTATGTTAATATTTTAAACGTAAGCTCTTTTTAACACAGCATTTGGGAGATTAAGCTTTAGAAGAGGCAGTGGGTAGAGTCTGAAGATACTTCAGATCCACAGGAGCTACCAACTGAGCCTCTGTCCCATGCCCAGGTCCAAAGACAGACCAGATGTCGTGTGTGTGTGTGTGTGTGTGTGTGTGTGTGTGTGTCTAGTTAATCCACTTCATCTACCATCCTCTGCAACTAATGTCCCACTACCTTCTCAATGTTTCCTCAAATGGGGAGGCTGGAAGCCAGCCAGTTGCAAGAGTGAATGAATGAATGCTTGTACACACACACACACACACCATATAGGTTATCAACATTAATGTTGCATTGAGGATAGGTAACTTAAAAAAGCAACACCCTCCAGTTGTTGCTTTCTGCATAGTCACCCCAATTCTCAACCTACTGTTGAAAGAAAGCCAATGGGACTTTGGACTCTAGTGAAATCCATTGATCTGATATTCTAAAAGTGAGAACTTTCTTCAGAGCAGATGTGAGAAGTCATGTGAGACTACCTAAGGAACATTTTTGCCCCTCTACCAGCTGTCACAGAGTTCACCCCTACAGCAGTTGCTGGGAAAGCAAGAGTATTATGTGGCAGAGCCCTGGGCAAGAAATGGTCTTTTCCATAACTTCTCAGGCATCAAGCTAACATGACTTGGTCACAGAGAAATAATGGAGAGAAGGTATTGAAAGTGTTTGAACAGGACAACACAGAGGTGGAGGAGAAGCTAGGAGTCACAAAAGGTACACAATCAGAAGAATAACTTCTATAAGCTAAACAATTTCTGGAAAGGGCACTTGAGTTTAAGCCCAAGAAGACTGGAAGAGAGTACTTATTTTAACCTTGCATCATCAGAAGTATCTTGTACCACAAATTCTTGGGCAGCCCAGGTGAACTAAAAGGAGAATAGCATCAGCCAAGCAGAAAAGTGTCTGCTTCCTGTTTATAAAAGCATAAATGACAGGGAAGAAAAGAAATATATAAAAAAACAGTGGTATTAAGCCTTCTCTGTCTCAGGAAAATAAAAGGATTGGTGATTGGGATCTAGAATAAGTGATGAATCCCCACCTCTCTCATCTTTCCGTTCCGCACAGCTTTTTCATGGTAGACACTGAACCACCAACAAACCAAATGGCAAGGTTCACAGCATACATGAAACTGGGCACACCACTTGGATTGGATTTGGCATCACTCCTGGATGCTCAGGTGGGCCATGATGGCCAAGTGTTCACTTGCCCAGATTCAGCTGCTATCCCTTTTGAGAAAAGCGGGATCTCGCTTTGCTTATCTCTGGACAAATTCACAATGATTGCAACAAGCGCCATACGAGACTGCCCTTATACAGGATTTGGAAAGTGTAACTGGGGCATGATGCAGAAAGCAGGCTGCGCTCTAATTTCTCTTTTTCTTCCATCATAAGACCATTCATTTTCTGTCAAGCCCACTGGCTTTCTGTTCATTTCTGGCCCCAAGTCAACGTGTTCATTCTTTTCTGTTAAGTCCTAACGATATCTAAGTTATCTGAGAGACCATACATTCCTATACAATCTTTAGAAGTTTGATCATGATATCCTCCAATCCAAGTGGTTAAGCTGCTGGAGCAGGATCTTTCCTGTGGCACAACCCCTGTTTTGAATGCCCTCTCAAAGAAGACAAGGCTAGGTTTAATGCACATCTGCATTATGGGAGCAAATGAAAGCATTTTTATTCCATTTTGTCCTTATTGGTTCTTAATACATAACTAAAAACCACAACTCTTTAGTGCCATATTTTTCATTTTCCTTGTTATTTGGGGCATTATATATTGCCAACAAAAAGCAGTATTGACATGCTATTAAAACCCAATAATAATTCCAGCATTCAGTCAGATAGGTAGGTAGGTAGATACTAATGTAGTCTTACAGCCATATGAGTTGTCAAATGGCATTATCACAGCCGTTTTAATATTTCAATTTAAATCTATTTCAGTATCAGATCTGAAAGCCATTTCTCCTTCAAGAATGACTGCCCTTTGTGCAGCTTGACACAGTTGGCAGGCTCCTTTTGCAAAAGACCAACAATAAAAAAGAAAAATAGTTACAACCCAGCTGAATACATCTGGCGGATCACTTGTTCCTGAAATTACGTATTAGATGGGTAGAGCAAAAAGGTACCTCAAACTGAGCTGCTCAGGGAGGTTTGAGAATAGGACAGCAAGGGGTCATCTGAGTCCAGAATTTCAAATAAAATCTTGGGTCAGAATTGACAGATACTTCTCTGATATGCTTTATTTACATAAAGGAAAGGAAAGCAGCCTTACGGAGATTGTTCTACATTAAGCAGACATTGTCTAATTATGCTCAAAAGACAACTGCTGTGTCTTTGGCGCAGTCAGATCGCACTGTTTACATGGTCAACGTAAAGTTCCTTTTCGTAACTGTCATAATGCTGCAAACGTGGGTATCACTCTTAGGGAAGTATAGCTTAGTGGACAACAGCATCGTTAGCCCGCGGAAGGTGTAGGCATGGTCAAGCTCAGTACTGCAAAAGGCCTCTATTTGAGATCTTGGAAAATCAACCCTCGTCAGAGTAGACAGAGATGAGCTAAATGGAGAAGAAATGCAAGGAGAACTTCCTTCAGCAGCTAACTCCAGAATGAAATTTGACTGAATGTCTTACAATCAAGGACTCTCACAGCCAGGTAAACAATACTGCTAGGTAACCAAACCAGATCAGAAGTCAGACCAAGCCAATCTTGATGATTCATATTGTCCACCAATCAGAGGAGTAGATGGCATAAATTCCTAGGTAGCCTCTAAGACCCTTAGGAGCCCTTCTCCAGATGCCATATAAGTTATGGTCTCTTCAGATTATGTGGTTCTCAAATGCAACAGCAGAGTCCCTGAAACTAGTTGGCCTGTAATTCTAGTTCTCCACTGAGGAAAGTCTACTGAGACTTCAAGCCTACAAGAAGACTCCAAGCAGATGGCCAGATGGCAGATAGCATTTTCATCAATTGGTATTTCACCACGAACTACTGCATACATTTTTTTAGGGACAGCTTGTGCTTCTTATCCTACTTGCATCCATGAATACAAATTCAGTTTTCCTTAGACTTTTTAATCCTCGCATTATTTATTTGGTGCTGCTTAGTTTTGCTTTAGCTGAAATGTTCTGATTGCAAAGGCTTGTAATCTGTTCCTCTGCAAGTCGAACTCCCAAACCTGAACCGAAAGTTATGAGTAGATATAAAGAACAGTACAGAAGAAATAAATGATTGTATTGCTTATTAAACCCAGCCACCCACAACCTGGATCCTCTAGCAGAGAAAGTGAGTCATTGAAAAGTATAAAACAAACTGAATTGAATTACATGGGGGGAATTAAATGTTTTTTACAAAAACCCATTTGCAGAAAGTTCTGCATTATCATGCCCACAGCCCCCTTTCAAGCAGCTTTGATAAAGAAGTAACTGCCTTCAGAAAAGAGCTGACAATAGATTATACAGTTTTTTTTGCATTCATAGAAGATGGGGATTCCCAGTGTATTTTTGAATATGCTAAGTCTACAGCATTTTGCTACGTCAGTACTTCAGTGTTTAATCTTCAAGTATCGAAGTTACAAACCATGTGCCATGAAATGCATATATCATATCAATGCATGAAATAAATGTTGTTTTACTGGGATACAAATTGCAGCCCTCCACAGTAGCATCTCAGAAAGAAAAAAATGAGTGCCCTGCACAACAGAGCTAGGTACAGATCAGGCATTTTTCAGATATGGAGATTCAGGCTTTGGGACACGAAGGTCTATCTGCTCTCTCACTATGCTTCAGGTCTTGTCTTAAGATACTGATGTCTCTTTTGATGATCCACTCCATTCATGAGTTACATTTACATCTTTGGGGTACATTGTCAGAAAGAGAAAGGAAGCACAAATTGCTGATACATTTACTTTTCACCTTCTATAAAGTTAGAATTCACCTGTGTGTGTTTATAAGTGTGTGTGTTTGATCAAAATTCTTTTATTTTTCCATAGTAGAAGACTTCTGCAGAGGAGATCTGAAGAAATACGGTTAGTGCTTCATACTAATACAGTGTTTCTCAACCTTGGGAACTTTAAGATGTGTGGACGTCAACTCCCAGAATTCCCCAGCCAGCCATGCTGGCTGGGGAATACTGGGAGTTGAATCCACACATCTTAAAGTTCCCAAGGTTGAGAAACACTGTACTAAGAACTAGTTTGCTGTAGTGGTTAAAACGCTAGATTAGAAACGAGGAGACCATGAATTCTAGTCCTCCCTTAAGCACGAGAGCCAGCTGGGTGACTTTGGGCCAGTTGTTCTCTCTCAACCCAACCCATCTCACAGGGTTGCTGTTGTTGCAGGGAAAACAGGAGGAGGGAATTTTTTATATATAGCCCTGAACTGTACAAAATAAAGCTGGGATATAAATCAAATAAATACATTGATAATTATAAGATTTTTATTAATCATTGCAAAATTTTTAAACTTACCATGTCTGCTCTTTTCTTCTGATTCCCTGCTTCTTCCAAAGCCTGGGATAACTGAGCCTTCAAGAAAAAAAAAAAGAGACTAACATTCAAGAAAATGACAAGTGTGAAGCAACCCAGGGCCTTAAGGACAGAATTAATGCTGCAGAATGAACTAAACAGTAAAACAGTGAAAGTGTTTTAATATGTCTCGAACGACATTAGCATGTGTTTCTTCTGTCAAAGCAATCACTCAGAAGTCATGCCAAGATGCCCAAACACCTCCAGGATTTCACATTTCAAATCAAAAATGACACAAGTCACTTTATGGTAAACTTGCAATTTACACAATGATAATTTTCATCTAAACAATGATAATTACTATATCCCTGAGGTCTCTCAGATCAGAGGAGTCTTGGAAGAATGTTTTGGCAGCTCTTGAACACTCGTCACAAAACCACCACCACCACCATTACTTCTGCCACTCCCACAACAATACATGTCTTGAAAGAACATTTTCTCCCCCGGGAAAGCCAGTGGAGAAGAGGAAAAGAGTAAGACAATGGCAATATTTTTTTTCCACAATAGCCCATCTTGTTGTAGATCAAGGATCTATTTTGTAGATCCTTTGCATGAAGCTGGAAGGTCCACAGCAAAAGGAATTCCAGTTGCTCCAACCTTGTTTTAGACTATAGCATAAATATTCAATTTTCTTATTTGGTCACCCCACCTCCCTCAGTTCATTTTCCAGTGGTATAAGGTTAGAAACCAATTAGTTTCTTTGCAACAATAGAAATGCTTGCCAAATAAGCTCTGTTGATGACACAGAAACCCATTTAAATCAGCCTAAACAAACCCACAGAGAATGGACATCTTGCATAAAAAACAATTCATATCATTCCAGACAATTATTCATTAATTCTCCAGGGTCTTTAGAATAACTTCCCTACACCATGTGAAGTGGTCTTAACAAGCACAACAGAAGTGAACACCAAGTGATTTACAACAAAGAAATAGTGGTGGTAGATTAGGGGGGGGGAGAGAACAGAAGGGACCTGTCAAGCTCCAGAAACAAAGCTTCAAAGAAATTAATCAAAACAAGAATCACAATCTCGAGAGGGCACGCATAAAAAGTGCCACTCTGCTTTGCTAACAAACATAATAATTACAAGCTTACATTGGTCTTTGGATTCAGCAGGAGCTAACATAAAATCAGGGGACCTGGCTGTGTACACCCTGCAATCATATCAGGTGATTGAAGGAAGAAGTGCCCAAACAAAATGAATTAGATTCTAATATAAATCCAGGGGCTGGCATGGGAAATTGGAAAGACATTCATTAAACCCTGCAGGATGCACCAGTCCTGTGCCAATGTCAGAGAGTTGGGAGTGATCAAGAGAGGCATTGTAATGAAATTACTGCTACGTTTGGTGTTGAAACATCAGGAGGCTGCATATGTAAATGTATGGACACCTGGAATCAAGATCTTCTCCAATACTTAATTAGGTTGTATTAATCAACAACCTAGAATGAACACTGATCTGTGTGGGATGGACTGAGAAGTTTTCTTGGCAACCGTGACTGCAAAGTTTTCCAACTGCCTTTATCCTAGCACTGAACATACTAAAAAGAAATAAACTTTCCAATATTCAAACACAATTTTGGCAACAGTTCTCTGAATGTTGGCTAAAATTAACATTTTGTTCAGTGGTGTTGCTTCTTCTAATTCTTCAGAATAACTGCCATTCTTCTTGAAAGAAAGCTCTAGAAAGTAAGCTTCACATTTATGGGTTTGCTCGTGGCTCTAATGAGGAATCATAAAGTGAACTGAGCAATTGGGCAGCAGATTTCCAAGAAGAGTTGAGTCAAATGCCTAATTACTACTCCTCTTGAAGCTTTTGGAAAAGGCCTATTGGTCCAGAATATCTTTTTAATATCACCCTCCTTGGCCAAAACAAAGCTTTCACCATGGCATCTTTGAACACTCATCTTTCAGACTTTTCATTGGGTAGACAGTATCAAAATCCATACATGATGCAATGATGTCAGGAGTGGAAGAGTCAGGGGCCAATGCCTTGCTACTGTGGTCTTATTACAGGGATTCCCAAAGAGAATCCATGGCTGTCTTCCTTTTTCTCCCCACTTCTAACTAATGTTCCTATTAGTTCTGAAGAGTGCTATACCCAGCTTCTCCTAGCAGATGATTATCCAGAAAAGCTACTAATCATAGCAAAGATCTATGCGAGGGCCTGCAGTACTTCTCAAGATAATGGTTATGTCAATCTAAATTAGGCTGTTTACTCTGTAGGTTGAGTCAAAGTGAATGCATTCTTATTTTTTGTTTCTGATCAATAATTATAATAAAAACAAATTGAAACTGAACAAAATCTATTTGAATGGGATTTTCAAGTTCAGAATGCCAATTATCACTCATACTGGACTAAAACAGCACTATTAGGTTATTCTGAATTTACAATCCAGTTAGATAGTTCAACCAGCTTTCTTACATCCAAAATGCACAAATCAATTTGGGTTCATTTAGTCATAATAAAATCACATTTAATCATCATATCCATCAGTTCTATGCTTAATTCCATGTCTATTTGGTCTGAAATTTGTGACAAGTATTAAATGTTTTTTATATTTGTCACAAATTTCAGACCAAACAGACACTATGTTCCAGAAGAAACCAGAATGTTTTGCACCAGCCAGCTAGGGAATAAAAATGACATCAGAAGAAAGTGCTGGAATAAGAAGTACAAACCACTTTTGAACATAAAACAAGCCTCGTGGATCAGGCTAAGGGTACCTCACTCGACAATCTGTATCACACAGGAGGATAATCACCCTTTTCCATTGCTGCGACCACCAGCCCATATGCTGCCTGCAGTGTATAAGGTACTGAACAGATGTCTTCTATGTGCCATTTTTTAAAAGAACTTTGAAGCTGGTGGCCATCTCTACCCTGAATTCCATAATTTAGCTATGAGTTGCGTAAGAAGCACTTCCTTTTATTAGTCCTGAATCTCTTTGCATTTAATTTCATGGAACAATTCAGCATTCCAGTGTCATGACATGTTAACTAGTCCTCGTGGAAACTTTTAACTTTGTGCACCCTACATACATCAATGCATCAATGAAGGAACAGTTGAGCTCTGAAGTTCCGGCATGGCTCTTTTAATCCATTCACTTTAAGAAACTGTCATAGCGTAAAAGCAGCTGCTCAAGAAGAAACAGGGCAACCTGTTGCAACTAATCATCTTAGCCGTGGTAGGATTTCAACCAGGCAGCCTCAGAGAAAGCTGGGGGAAAATATAATCCTCTACAGCTTGTTTCCTTAAAGTGGAACAGAACAGCTCAAGAACATTCATCAACCTTCAGCCTATATGCTCAGTGGCGTCAGGTATCTTAATAAGACCTTGGCAATTTGACAATGAAACATTTATTGACACACACACACAAAACGGCAATGCACAATTAAAATATCCTAAATCTTCTCTAAAAAACACAGTGGCATGAATAAAGTGGTACTTTTTAAAAAAACTTTTTTTAATCTTGCCGCTGTGTATCGATGAACAGGTCACTCTTCAGAGCCTTGAATCTGAACCTTTGTTTACTTCAGGAAAATGTAGTAGTGGCCCATTTTTAAAAAACAAAACCAAAACCAAAGTGGGGGAGCATGAGAGCAAAGAAACATTTTTCTAAGGCAGCTGCATGGAATTCATGCAACAGCTAGCAAGCGCAGCCACATTTGATCCATGTATCAGAGCAGCTTACTGTCCCTGCAGTTTCAGTAAAAATTACAGCGCAGCATTATAGCTGGGAATCACAAAGCGATGCTATTGCAACATTTTGATTCGAAAACACGGACCTCAATAAAGCTAAGTAAGTGGGTGCTTGCTGTAAAGCTCTGAGACTTAAAAACACACACACACACACAAAAACCAATGTTCAGTCTCTGTCACACAGCCATAATCCTTGATAGAAAGCCGTTTGTATTACCAGACTGGTATCTTCCTGTGCTGTGCCTAATTCCAAATTCACCGCCAAACCACCTGGCTCAAGTGAGATCTTCTTAAAATTCTATGCTCTTAACCCTAATTTCAAAACCTCTCTGGGTGAGATAACTTTAGATCTTTGCCAAGAGCAATCTATTTCATCATTAAAGCCTGCTGCCCGGAGCAGAGGGGGCAAAAAGAAAAGGCATCTTTCCAATCGAGAATGACATTTCCATTCACTGTTGGCTTTGGCCAACTTAATGCTGGTTCCCACTTGTCCTCCATGCAGTTCCCAGCAAATGAATCCTGGGGAAATGCCTTATCTACTCAACATTTGCTGTTCAATCTGAGACAGTTTGTAATATTGGACCAGCCCAAAGGTGAGGGTGATTAGGCTGTTTTGTTTTGCTTTCTCTCTGAAATCAGCAAAGGCTGGTCTGCTCATTTGAGAATCCAGCCAAAAGAATAACGGGAAGGGTCTGACTTAACCAAGATATGACAGAATACCCATTTTCAGAATTTTGCTCAAGATCACAGGCTCTGTTATTTGGCAGAACTGCAACATCTATCTGAAAAATATACAAACACAAGTATAAAAGTTGATTTTCAAGGGCACAAATGTATGTACGTACATACATATGCCTGTCAGTGATATTTCATATATCTTCCTGTGGGTGGGGAGCTGATTTCAAACAGCTGCGAAGAGCTCAGTTGTGTGGGTGGAAAGGATTGTGACAAAAGTAAGTTCCAACAGTTATACTGCTAGACTTCCGTTTATTTGCATACTGCAACACGCTGTATTAAAATATTGTGAAAGCTGGTATGAAAAATAATTTCCGTCAGTAAAACATGCCAATTTATATCACTATGAAAATATATTTCCATAGCTAGGAGAAGTTACTGAATTAGCCCTTTTACAGGATACTTACAAAAAAGAAATCTGGAAGGAAGGAAG